AAAGAACAGATGACCAGAAAGTTAATAATTTCCAGTTAGTGTCAGAGCTATGCAGTGTAACCCAAACACTTCAGTATTTATAAATGTAGTCTTTAAATCAGTTAAGGTTATTTTGGACTAGATACAGCTATTTGTGAAAAGATTGTGTGGCTGATGTGAACTGCTGCTTTAGCCATTGTCTCAGATCAGCTATAGCAATACATTTGGAGGGAACACTGAAACCAACAGCATGCTCAACATATAGCATAAGGTAGGTCACATGACCTCATGCTACCTCAAGCTATAGTCCACCTCTTTTCCTTTCCACGTTCATGGAAAGCATATACTTAGTTCTAGGCATGCAGTATCCAACACTACCAGAGACCTCTTACTCAGTATCCTGTCTCTGAAAACAGACAATTGCAAGAAAACAGGTATACATCAAGCACATGGAGATACTTTTCAGAACTTTTCCTAATCCCCAGCAGTTCAGCATTTCCAAAAATCAAAAGCTGTGACCCTGAACATAACAGCTGGTGATGGGAGTTTTTTTTGGGTAAGAATTTTTATGAGGATTCCTAATATATGACTAAAGACACTTGCCACTGAATAAGTTGCCTGCATTTTGGACACACAACAGCTATTCACAGTTACATGAACAGCAATGTAGAACTCAAGATAGTGACACTCCTGCCAGAATACAAACAGCAGTCAGCTCTGTAAATTCATCACTTCCTTGTCATACTTGGTAGTTGGAAGTAACTTAAAAGCCCAGTTAGACTGCATGTTTGATTAAGAATGAAGTTTTACTCTCAAGATGACAGAAGTAACAAGCCATGCTGGTTACCAAGGACCAATTATTCATCTTAAAGTACTTCCATGAAAAAAAAAAAAAAAAAGGACAGATTAGAGTCACCAAAACTCTTACACTCAGAACATTCACACTTTTGAATAGCTGAGTTGCTGTGGGACAATAAAGGGAGCAGAAGATTAAGTATATCAAAGCCTTAAGTTTATAGTGAAAGAGAGAAATGGGTCAGAGCCCTGGCTAAGTTTAATTTGAAGGGTTCTCAGAACTACTTCAGGTTACTGGACATCATGCTCAAAAAAAAAAAAAAAAAAAACCAAAAACCAAACAAACCCTAAATGCAGATTTTGATGTTTTGTTGTGTTTTTTTTTTTTTTTTTAACCAGTATACATTTAGCCAAGCTAGTCTTGATATTCAGCAGGTGGTAGTAGACTAGGCAGTTGTAAGCTTTATTAATCACATCAAAAGCAGAGATACCCTGACCAATCAATCCCAGGTAAAACTCTGTTCAATATATTCATATGCCCTCCCTTTAAAAGGGAGAAACACTGATTTTTCTTACTAATTTATGCAATCTCACATTATTAACTTTTTGACTTAAATAAAATTTGACTTTCTACTGCAACAAAACCTCCTTTTCTTCCTCTTCCAGTCAGGCAAAAGTAAGGACAGTGACATAATCCCTCTATTCCTACTGTTTAAGTCCTCCCACTTTGAGTTTAGTTTCCCCACCCCCACCCCCTTTTCCTTAGAGTGCCTTTTCAAAGTCTCATCTCCAGTTGCCCAGTAACTCCAGATCACTGCTTCTGAAAATTCCATTTCTCCACACCCCCCACCCCCGCACACATTTTGCTGTAACATTCCTTTCAATGCCAACTCACCTGCTACCATTCAAGCAAGCATCAATTCCTTAGAGAAAAATTCAATTTTCTGAAATGGTTAAGCCAGTATTAAGATAGATTTAGATCTTTGTATAAGGAAAATTGAGACGCCCAAGACTTACATAGTCTTTTATGGTTTCTTCAAAAAGGGATATCAAATCTTGTAGTCTCATAATAGCATCATCTTTTTGCTCCGCAGTGTCCATTAGTACTTCAGTCCTTTCATTCTGTGTATTCATTTTCTTGGAAATGAAAGAACAGTAATTCAGTCAGTGTTAAATCATTCAACTACTTGGAAGCAATATCAGTTGTAATGGAATTTTAAGCTATTGGAATACTGTATTAAACCACATCATTTTGCACAAGTTTTTCTCCTTGAGAAAGCTACCTCAGCTGCTTCTTTAAGCTGCTCAGACGTCTCAGCTAATTTTATCATCTGTGTTTGAATGTCTGTAACAAGAAAAGTCTGTATCAAATAAGCAGTCAATATGTAGTTTACTTATTAGTCTATTTTTTCCAGGTCTTCTGGTAACTCAGTAGCTTTTGAATAGATTATTTCCATGTTGACATATAAGACATTTCAGAAGTTGCTTAGTTGTTTGTTTGGGTTTTTTTTGTTTTTTTTTTTTTTTAACAGAATTGAGCCTTGCAACCCATATAACACACAGATCATGCCAAGAGACTTCTGGTGAAATTGTATTAAAAGGTATTGTTACTTTTTCCTCTATGAATGTTCCACAGGGTACCTGGAAACACTGCATCAGCAAAATGTAAAGTGCCGGGACTACAACATCATGAAATCAAGATTCAATTTTATGTTTTACCCCACGATTCAGAAGCCTGCAATTGATAAAATTAAGTAGTCTTAAAAATGGAATAACCAAGACCTGTGAAATTGTTCAACCTCAACATACATAAAACAATTGGTTACCACCTTGATACATATGATTTGGTTCCAAAATCCTGCTTAACTGGATCATTTGCTCTACTTAGAATCATAGAATAGTTAGGGTTGGAAAGGACCTTAGGATCATCTAGTTCCAACCCCCCTGCCATGGGCAGGGACACCTCACATTAAACCGTGTCACCCAAGGCTCCATCCAACATGGCCTTGAACACCGCCAGGGGTGGAGCATAGTCAGTAGTCAGTCCTTCCTTGTTTTTGCCTTTCACACAGTTACACCCAGCTCACCCTTGCTTTTCTTTGCCAGCTCTCCTTCAGCTTTGATTAGTTCCTTGCTTTTCATTGCCAGCTCTTCTTTGGTCTTAGTTAGCTCAGTGGTAGTTTTTCCCAGTTCTTTCTCAAGCCAAGCTATAGCTTTCTGTTGTTTCTCTAGGTTCCCAATGTACTTGTGTGCTTCTTCTGCTTGCTTTTTGATATCCGCAACATCATCCTGCAGAGAAGCAATAACGCCCTCAAGATCAGTGTAGGCACCAGGCCCAATGCTATGGTTTTCATTCTGAAAGATAATTTATATCCATTTTTCTTTTTTGAAAACATCTAATGACCCATCACATTCCCTTTCACATCACCACAAAAACATCCCCTCCAAACTTAGTGTAAGAGCAGGTATTTTTTTTACCTGAGGAGAACATTGACTAAATACAGCAAGAGAACAGAGAATGCAGAAAACCCCAAAGATGCCTAAAAGCACACCCACCCAAGTCTCAACAACTGCTATTAAATTGGATAAATACATCTTGCTGAGAATACAGTTACACAGCACATGATCTTCAAAACCACTCTTCTAATCCCCAAAACATAATGGCCATAATGGATAGTTACTAGAAGAGATGTTGGGGCACAGGTTAGGGGGTGTACAAAGGTAAAAGTACCAGGAGGTTCAGCTTGCTCACTGCCAGGCCTGTCTTTATATCCTTCATCTGTGTTTTCAATATAATCCTTTACAAGTTCCTTGAAGATTTCCAGACGTCTTTCAGTATCCTCTTCAAGCCGTTCTCGTTCCTGAGAAAGGCACTCTCTGTATAGTAGGAAAAATATAGTCAGATAAAAGCTAGCCAGTATGAGATGCTAAGAAGTTATTAGTACAGCTGCTTATAAACAAAGTTGTTTATTTTAGCACAATAGAATGATACACAAAACAGTGCTGCTACACCAGAATACAAGTATATTTCCCATGCCACACACCCCCAAAGAATGAGGGCAGACTAATATATTCAAAGATTATGGATAGCACTTAAACTTTTTTAGAAGCTTCTCAAGTCAAAATATCTGTCTGGAGTATCCCCAAGACTGCAGTAACTAAAGAATATGCAAGTGTCCCTCTTTTTAATACAAATCCTATGAAAAAAAGCCTTTCTTGTAGGGAAAGCTCTAAAGGAACAAACACCACTTACAGATTAGACATTTTTCCTGAACCCATTGTCCAAATAGAAAACTGATGTATTAACAGATGCAGGAAGTCTATCAGAAGAGGGTGGAAGGTTTCTTTCGGCTGAGAGACAGGTTTAAGAAACAAGTGAATTTTACTTTTTTTTTTTTAAATCAGTAACTTCAAAACTGCTTAAAGCTCTCTTACTTGAAATCTCTTTCCCATTTAGCAAAAAACTGGGTAAATTCTTCTGTGACTTCTTCACAAATTTTTATTTCCATCAGTTGTTATTCCTTTCAGCAATAAGTTTCTCCTTCAAGTCTTCTATGAGATTCAGCAGTGTCTAGAATTACCATAAGTTTTCAATAAAGAAAGTTTCCCACAAGTGACATCTTTCCCCTTTCCTCAACCATTACAACACTTAACTGGCAAAAGTTCTTACAGTTCTTTTACTAGCTCATTCATACAACAGGAGGATTCATCAGTAGATTGAACTATCAGCAATTTATAAGTTCACACAGAGTAGGCATCAGCAAACAACAGGCTTATTACAAGAATTCTGGAAGCTGTCTTAAAAACACAGGCTTAAGCGCCATAGGATTTGGTTCTTGTTTTCCAGATCCTCATTTGGGGGCAATAATAATGAAAACTCCACAAAACACTCAAGTCCCCTGTTCCCTCACTCTTGTCTTCCCTACAATTGACCAAAATTGCTGTTCCTTACAGAACAGTTTTCAGATTTTTCCTGAACATAGAACACAAAGGAACAGTCTTCTCTATTGCTAGAAAACAAGTAATACTACTTGCTGTGCATGGTTATTGCATGGGTTACCAAAAAGAGAGAAATAGAAATCTGCAACTCTTACTTCTCAGTCTGTACAGTTTTCCCACAGTAGGCACTAAGTCATGAGTAATCCCACTTTTAGATCTGAAGACCATATTCAAGTAGAATGGTGATCAGAAAAAAAAAAAACAACCCACCAAAAAACCATGAGGTGGGAAAATGAGAACACCGCTTTGCTTCAAGACTCCATTCTACACTAATTCTTAAAGAAGCCTTAGCACATACCATATAGTTTTCTTTTCCCATACAAACTTGATTAGCTTCATGTTGCTGCAATGCTTCTTCTCTTGACATGTGCTGTTCCTCATCATCTTCAATCACATCTTCTAAGCTCCTATCCCATAGCATAGTAGTTCTTTTCCTTGGGACTGGCATTTTAGTGTCAAGTAGTGATGATTCTTTTGCTGATTTCTGGCCAAATGACTGAACTTGAGGAAGAACAGATGCATCCAGAACAAAGACCTACCCAGAAAATAAAGAACAAAGCCACCAGTAATTTATTAAACCTTTACTGGCACTTTCCTATAGGCCTCCCGAGACTATCCTCTGTTCAGAGTCACTACTTAGACCAGTTCCCAGCTAGGGTACCAAAAAGTCACTTTATAATCTAACCCTTCTTTTGATCCTAGGAACACCAAGTTTCACAAGCTGAACAACCTCCAAGAGGGTTGCCAACCCACACACCAACATATTTATTTTTCCTATGCTTGGGGTTTCTAGTTGCATTACATAAATGTCATCCTACAAATTCTATTTTTTAAATAGCTGTATCACCCCTACAGTCTGCTCCTTCTGACATTGTACTTAACCTGCTTAGACAAGCCCACATGCCAAAGGCCTGGACCTCCCTCAACCTGCCCCCTGAAACCTCTATGGACACAGGGATGACCTTTCAAACTCTGGTGCTCAACCTATTTTATCAGTATTTCAGGTGAGCAATATTCAAATTAAGATGGCAGTAGGACATGGGCAGCTAGAATTGCTCCTAAGAGGGAGCATATCATGACCACAGAAAAAAGTCTCCCTAGCTCTCAGAGAATTTCTTCCCAATACAGCAAGTGTCTTGTTAGGCTGGACATTTTGTAGGAATTACAGATT